CGCGCGATCAACCCTCCCCACGGTCGGACAATCCTACGCTCGCCTCACCAACTCGGCCGCCCATCCCGGTCGGACTCATCTTCCTCATACATATTCCCTTCGCTGGTCTAAAGCTGCACTCGGGAATGGAGGACTACTGACATGGATAGGCCCACAAAGGCCATGAACCACTATAAATAACCCGAGCCCATCATTCGGGGCCCAATGCATAACCCTGCCAATGGAATCCAGAACAGCTAGAATCCAATATGGCACCAAGAACCAACAGTATTCAGACACGCGGCGGGTGGAGGACGAGCCACATCAGCAGACAAAGATCTGCAAAGTTATTGCCACTACACATCACCATTAATGCAGTCCATCACAGCATTTATTACGGCAACACCTCTCCGTCGGAATAGGACCCCCTTACCCTGAGTAAGGTAAGCTACAACGTAGGCTTTCGGCAAGGAGAGCAGGTCGGAAAGGACAGCGAAATGATGGCAAAAGGATATAAGCAAATGTTGTAGACAAGAAAAAGGTTAAGTTCTCTATCTCTAATCCTCTTCCATACACTCTGCTTCTCTTCCTAGCTTGCTCGTCGGAGAGTTCGTTGGGGGGCTACTTCGTTCCCCGTTGAACTTGCTTGTAGGTTATCTGATGAGCTTGATCATTTAGATACAAGCTGAAAGAACTTGAACCTGTCTGATCCATTTACTGGAACGAACATCATTAACACATATAATATCATTCTTCATGCACTCGTTATTATTCCAGTTTTGACCAATTTGTGATTTTTGTGCAATTTCTCCATGGCTAGTGGCCACACTCTGATGGTGTGGAACGAAACCCAATACCATTTAAAATTGTCTGTTTGGATATTTTTAAATGAACAGTCAAACCACCCATTTGCCTTTTTCTTTATTTTTCTTTTAGTATTATTATTAATTTATTGTCAATATGTGAAAGTTTCAGTTGCAACTGCCAAACCGACAGCTCCATTATTGAATTACGCAATTGCGAACGGGTCTACCCGCATTAGCTGCTGCCACGCTCCATCCATTTTCGAATGATATTTTCTGCAATATCTTCGTAATAATGATTTATTTTTTAAATTAAAATAAAATTTCATTATTTTAAGATGAAATTGTAATAATTAGGATATCTTGTTTTGTTTAGCACATTTTATGATGTGGGGTATCAGATTTCTCGTCTTTAGATCATATATGCAATTAGTACTAATTATTGTGTATGGTAATTAGTGTACCAACATTAGTTATAACATTATTATTGATCTTACTCATTAATCACATTATAAATGTCAAAAACTTTTTAAATTATGTCACATTATCAATTGATATACTAGTTAATATACTAATTAGTGCATATAATATTATTCCTTAAGGATATAATTATTAGAGTTGATTAACTTTTTAATTATTATGAGGTAACTGTGTGTTTGATAATAAAAGCATTTTTTATAATGTAATTATTTATAATTGACAATTTTTTATTTTATTTTTAATTTAAATTGTTAAATTATATATTTTATTAATAAAGAACACAACAAGATAATTACATAAAAGTCATAAAAAAAAAAAGATATTGGACCCATTCATTTCACACGTTCCTTTTCCATAACACAACAAGATAATTACATAAAAGTCATAAAAAAAAAAATATTGGACCCATTCATTTCACACGTTCCTTTTCCATTTTCCTTATTTTTTTTATTTTATTTTATGATTTATCGGATCTTGGTTTGATAAAACTTATTTATTACGTCTGATTGCATTTTCCAATATTTCTGTGTCTACCCCATCTATTATGTCACTTACTTGCATCCAAACCCCGTGTAATGGAGTATAATGGGTTTTTTAATAGTTATTATTTTAATATGAAATTATGAAATAAAATAGGATAAATTACACTTACCTCCCTGAGGTTTCTGACGAATATAGAAATTTTCCTTATAGTTCCAATAATTACAGAAATCTCATCTACTTTTGAAATTATTATCAAGATTCTCTCACTGTTACCCTCCGTTAGATTATTTGTTGATATCATATTGATGTCACGCTGATGTCATACCAATAATAACGAAATTACTCCTTAGATACCTCATTTATTCAAATGAGTAATTTCACTCACAACCCTGAGGTTTATATATTTATTATTAAAGACCCATATATATTTTAAAATTATTTAATAAAATTCTTAAAATCCATGCAATATTAAATAAAACTCCTAAATTATTAAAATATTATTAAATTTTTTAATGGAAAAAAACTTAATTTTTATTGATAAAATACTTAAAAATAAACAATCTCTATAAAATTAATGTTAGATAATATCTTAGTAATTTAATGTAACACTTATTCTGCACTATATAAATAACATAAAATTATCATTTTAAGTAATGCATTTATTATTTGAATTTTTTTTTTTTAAGTTGAAGTAAATGGATTTATTTTTTTGGACAATTTGCATTACTTATTTATTCATATGTACAAGCATTATTATTTTATATTTTCTCAACCATATATTATTCTTAAATTTTAATTTTTATCTTTGGATCATTAAACTTCTAGTCGATGCATATTTACAAAGGTTAATATTTTTACATGAATAAAAAAATTAAAAAATAAATATAAATGTAAAAAAAATATAATTATTTCACAATAAATTAAAATTAGTTGATAGGAAATGAAGGATCACGAAAACTTGGAATTAATTTCTCATCTTCATTAATGGTTAAATTTTATTTTATTTTTTCTATAAAAGTTCAAAAACTTGTGAAAAAATATAGAGTCAAGAAATTACATTTATATTTTGAAACAATTACGAAAAATAAATAATAATTTCATATATATATTTAATAAGGTAAATTAAATTTAGTACATATATGGTTAAGGTTAATGTTGATAACCTCAAAGGAGGTAACTTTTTTTTTTACTACTATATTTATATTTTTAATTTTTGTAATCATGTAAAAAATATTAATTTACGTTTTTTTTAAACATGCATCGACTATGAGTTTAATGGTGCAAAGATAAAAATTAAAATTTGATAATAACATTGAGAAAAGATAAAATAATATATTTTTTACATATGAATAAATAAGTAATGCAAATTGCCGATAAAAAATAAATGCATTTATTTCAAATTTTTTTAAAAAATTAAATAATAAATGTATTACTTAAAATGATAAATTTTACGTTATTTGTGTAGTATGGAATAAGTCTTATATTATCTAACATTAATTTTAGAGAGATTATTTATTTTTAAGTATTTTATCCATGAAAATTAAGTTTCTTTTATTAAATTTTTTAATAATGTCTTAACAATTTAGAGATAAATAATTTTTTTACATATGAATGAATAAGTAGGACAAATTGTTGGGAAAAAAATCAATCCATTGTTTCAACTTTAAAATAAAGAAAAAAAGAAAAAAAGAAATTTAAATAATAAATGTATTCAGGCACCGTTTGGGAAGAAGAATATGGGACTTTTTTTACTATTTTAGCCACAAAAGATAAAATAGGCTATTTTAGCTATAAAAGACAAAACATCATATCCAACCCATAATCATTACACGCTTCTCTCACAAAAAAAATCAAAAAAATCAAAAAGCTAAAAAGCCCTTCCCAAAACCAAGCGTTTTAGCCAATGCTAAAATAGTTAAAAAAATCAAAAAGTTAAAAAGCCAACCCACTTCCCAAACCAACCCTCATTAAAATTGATAAATTTGTCGTTGTTTATATAGTGTGAAATAAGTCTTATATGTATTATATTATTAGGATCTTATATTAAATTATTAAGGTATTATGTTAAAATATGCATGGATATTTAAAAATATATATATATGAAAAACCTTAGGGAGGTGAGTGAAAGATTTCTTTTAAATAACTTATTTGTTGATTTGATAATTTTCATCTTCCCCCTTAATTCAAAGGGGTAATATAGTCATTTTGAATAGTCAATTAACACCGTTTGTGCTAAATTAATGGAGTGAGAGAATCTTGATATTATCAACATAAATAAATGATGTTTCTATAATTATTAAAATTACAGAAGAAATTCCTATATTTGTCAAAAATTTCAGTAAAAATAACTGTAATTTACCTAATAAAATATGAAAATGGCTTCTTTAACGCCTATAAGTAGGTCCTTTATGGTTTATAAACAGATTGGACTTGTGCAAATTTGACTGTGCTCCACCACAAGTTTTATAAACTTTTTTTCATAAATTATTCATAAAAATATTAGATCGATTTAATAATTATATCACATAATTTTGTTATATTTAATTTTTTAAATAAGTAACGATTTTGTAAAATTATAAGTTCATTTATATTCCTATACTGAAAACTACATAACAATGGTTCAAAAACAATATAAATTATACCCTTATATAACTTCGACTACTCTTGAAGTATTGGTTTTCATATTTTATTTGCAAATATTTATAATAGATTTGTTGTGGAAACTGCACATTAGAGTTATTAGTATATATCATTATTAGAATACAAATAAGAAAAATTATTATAAGATTAAGGAGTAAGAAAATGAAATTAACTAAACAAAATATTTAAACAAATCAAATTATTTATTAAAAAAATGTAAAAATTTGATTGCCTTAAAGTAAAACTAAAATAGAATGAAGTTCTCATATTCTATTTTGATGCATACCACTTTTCTAAAACCAATTATTTTACCATGACAATGTCTAAATTCAACATTTTACCATATCAACACCACCTAAATCAAGGCCACCAACAACAACCCTACAACTGAGGAGGAAGAGGATGTAACATTATTTAGCTCCTCTCCCTCGAATTGATTTTTGACAAAAAAAATAAAACGATAACATCCAAAACCAGGGGCATTCATGCAATAAATTCACCTAACATGGGTTCCAATACAATAAAAAAAAATTTAGGGCAACAAAAAAAATAAAACAAAAAGGCACAAATTTTATTTTTATTTTTTTCCGTTTTATTTATTGAACACATCCTCGTCAGCTTTTTCCTCAGCAGCCACGGACCAAACACCATCTTTCTCTCTCAATTTGAATCCAAACCCGCAATCACAAAAATCACATTATATATATACATATAACGTGTATCTACACGTTATATGTATATATATCTTCATCTTCACTCTCTTGATCCGCTTCTCAGCAATCTCAGGCTCGTTCTTTGCGTTTCGATTTATGTTATTGATTTTGAGTTGGTGAAGAAGGTATGAAAACGGAGAATTAGGGTTTTTATTTGGGCGTGAAAACGGTTTTGTGTGATGGACGGAACGCGTCGAACCGGGGGAGAGTCGGTGTCGGAGATCGGTATTCCGACGGGGTTGAACCGAATCAGGACTCGCCGGGAGTCTCCCAAGGACCCGCCGAGTTCAATAGATGATGATGTCGATAATTTGACTCCTGGTATTCCAATGCCTGGAAAGCTCCATGGCTCTAAAAAAGAAGGTTCGTCTAGTTTTATATTTGAGATTTGAGTATTGTTCCAAGGATTTATTGGTATTTACTTTTGTTGTCTCTAATTGTTTAGTAGATTTATCTGTATTGACATTTGAGTATTGTTATATTAGTTTGAAGAATTTTTAAGTTTGAATTGCAAATTCATATCTATATATGTAATAGGTGTATGTGAATTACTTTCCCAAAAAAAAAAAAATTAAAAATTAAAAATGGTGTTGTGAATTTTAAAATTCACCTCAATCATGACTCATGAGGTGGAAGCACAAGTATTCATTTTGTTCTAAGAAATCATCTGATTAGATAATATTGAAAGGAAAAAGAAAGAAAGTAGAGAGGAATTTGAAGAACTTATTGGAATTCATTTACCTCGCAGGACTCCATAAAAGGAAGAAGATAGGTCGGTGGTTCAAATCGCATTTTTTCAGAGATTCCACTCATGATTTCAATGATAATTCTCCAAAGTCCGAGGTGAGGTTTGGTTAATGTTAGAGAGTTTTTTGATGTATGCTTTTGCACTTCCTTGCGTGTAATAATAAGTAGTGCCACTAATTTGGCAGACTAGTGACTCGGAAGGTAAAGGATTTGGCAAGGAGGGTCCAAGAACTAAACTGCACAAGGTGGGGAAGCATTCAACTGTAGACCAATCTTCACCGGAAAGCATGTATGTCATTGAAGTTCCAAAAGGTGTAAAAAGTTTTTCGCATGAACTGGGACCGAAAGGTGGCATTCGTCCTGTGTACCATCGGGCTCACAGCTATAATGATTTGAAGGTATCAGTCAACTTTGACCGCCTCTTTGGTTTAATATTTGCAAGTGGGAAAATAAGATGCTAGTACCATTTTCTAGAAACAGATACAGTTAGTTAGCATTCTCAGATGCTTAAGCATAATTTGAATGAACAATGCTTAACTTCTAAAACTGTTTGGCTACATTTTTGGGGGGGCATAAAATTAGATTTGTTTTAAATTATTAAATTATTATTATTTATTTTGCACTGAGTTGATAATCAGGAGCTTCTGGGATCATTGCGATCAAGATTTGATGCTGCAAAAGAAGTCATTAATGAGGAGCTGGCTTGGTTTGCTGGGGAGGTGATGGAACTCTTGCAAAAGAATGAGTTCTTATCCCCAGAAGCACAGAAATTGGCAGAGGATCTTCTGATTCTTTGTCAACAGTGTGTTGAAATGACATCCTCCGAGTTTCGTGCCAAGTGTGAAACAGTTGTTCAAGATCTGACTGAGAAGAGGAAGCAATGCGAAACAGGATTGCTGAAGTGGTTGTTGACACGCATGCTTTTTATATTGACACGTTGCACAAGATTGTTGCATTTTGAGAGGGGCAGTGAGTCAATTGATGAGAAATCTCTTCATAAATTTAAGAAATGCTTAGACAGAGTCCCTTCTGTTGAAATGAACTGGGATTCTGATCCAGTAAATGCTGATTCTGGTCCAGGTTATACTTTAAACCTGATGAAAGATGCCAAACACGAACTGCAGGAACAACGTAAGGTATCTAAGTCACCTGCAACTTCAGGCAGGTCTAAGGTGCCACCTGATGAGTGTAACATGACTTCCAGAAAGGATTTCATGGTTATTGATCATAATTCATTTAATCGAAGTTCCCAAATTGATGTGTTATCAAGTGTTCAAGAATATCATCAAGTTAATGGTAATGATCTTAGAGACTCGGTAGACAAGGCTAGTTCTTGTTCACTTCGTCAGCAAGGACGGAGTTTAGATGAATCTGATTCAGTTATTTGTAGGATATGTGAAGAAGTTGTTCCAACCTTGCACTTGGAATCTCACTCCTATATATGTGCTTATGCGGAAAAATGTGATCCAAAATGTTTCGACTTAGATGACCGCCTGTTGAAACTTGCAGAGATGCTGGAACAAATCATAGAGTCATTCAATTTGAGTGTCCATGCATCATATGATAACCCTCAAAATTCAAAAATTCAAATCCCCAATCCTGCAACCCTATCTGAAGGTTTTTCTCCAAAGATAAGTGAGTGGCGAAGTAAAGGTGTGGAAGGAATGTTTGAGGATATTCATGAGATGGACACCGCCTGTATAGATGATCTCACAACCCCTAATTTGAGGGGTCACTTGAGCATGAAACTTGGCCTCTGTGGCCCATCCTCCTCCGCTGGAAGCATAACATCAGGATCTTCCACAAATACCCCTAGAACAGCACATTTTGACTTTTTCTGGCTGGAGCATAACAATACTTCTGAGCTGGAGGACGTGCAACAAGTAAGTCATCCAGTTGTGGTTTACTTAATTGTTACTTGTGGTTTCTGTTAAAATCAATTTTTATTAAAATTTCACTTCAAGGAATTTGATGTGGATTTATATTGAAATTCAGAAAATGGAAATACATGGATTTGTTCCATACTAATTATTTTCCATGGATGTTTGAAGAGACAAGCAGACGAATCAGAATATGTGTGTGTGTGAGAGTGAGAGAGGGGGTGTGAAGATAAAATTCTTCATGCGACATGGCATTGGAAGTGAAAATATCACTAGCCATCATTTGTCCCTGTCAGATTGCTACCAAACAGATACAATGCTGTCCTTTAACCAGGGAGAAACTCTCAATTCTTCTTCAAGCAACATGTTTTGAACAGCAGTGTGGCTCTAAGTTCTTTCAAACTAGAATATGTTGCTTATGCATGATACTTGATATATTATAATTAGGTGCTGCAGCAATGAACTTGTCTTTGGTGAGTTCGGGCCATGGAAGGCTAATAGGCTATGTTATGCCTAAGTTGACTTTCCACTTAACACTTTTGGGCTGAAGGATGATGATACCAACAATTGTTTGGTCCATAGGTAACTTTTCTAGGCCAACAACATGCCAATGTTATACCTAGCTTGGAGAAATTAGGGCTCAAATTGCCATTTTAATATGATGGGAGAGTGTGCTAAGATTAATTTTTCAAGAAAAAGGAAGCGGAGTAGGAAGAGAAGAAGGAAAAAGATCAAAACATACACTTTCTATTCTCCCAATTTGCTAATATGTTCACTTTGTAGTCTTTGTTTCATTTCTTTTCTTCTGTTTGTATTCTTGACAAAAATTTATGATGTTTATTATGCATTCATTGATTGCCTTCGTCTATATTCTCTCTCTTCTTAATGATATGCATTTAAAACTCCAGAAGAATTTTACATATGCTATGCTAACAACATAAATTGAAGTTCTGTTCTGCAGATGACTGAACTTGTTGACATTGCTCGCTGCGTAGCTGGCACAGATCTTTCAAAGGACGGGTCCCATGAGTTTTTACTTACTTATATGGAAGATTTACAGGATGTGTTGCAACATAGCAAGATCAAAGCTCTTGTAATAGACACATTTGGAGGCCGAATAGAGAGCCTTCTGCGGTAATTTCTAAAAGGATGTAAAGCATATATATGCAACTCTGAAGTGACCTTGAATCTAACCTTGTATTTTTAATTCATATGCAGAGAGAAATATATACTTGCTTCTGATCTATTGGATGTGAAAAGCCTGAAGACTAATAGTAGACATGCTGAAAGCTCTAAATTTTTGCTGGATACTGCATCTCAGAGTAGTACAACATCAACTCCTGTACATCCCTCACATAAAGAACGAACAAGCATTGATGACTTTGAGATTATTAAACCAATTAGCAGGGGAGCTTTTGGTAAAGTCTTTCTTGCACGAAAGCGAACAACAGGGGATTTATTTGCAATAAAGGTAACCATTGAATAATTATAAATTCATGTGTACTTTCTTAGAGTTAATGCTACTAAAAATTCTTTCCTTATGCTCCATTTCTCAACCATATCCTGACCGGTGTTGGTAAAAGTTACTCACAGCTGAGTATAGTTATGCGATTTGTTTGAGTTATTTTTAATTCAACTTTACAATATATGCCAAATTTGCTGTAGATTTTGTGGTCATTTAGTCTGTTACTTATGCAGGTGCTGAAGAAATTGAATATGATTCGGAAAAATGATATTGAGGGTATATTGGCTGAACGTAACATCCTGATAACAGTTAGAAACCCTTTTGTGGTAATATTCCAACTGAAATTTATTTTCAGCTATGACAACTGCCACTGTACATGATGTTTGATGTGCATGAATTGAATATCTTTTTATTTTTATAAGCTTCAAAATCTTCATGATTGTGATTCTGCTCATGCTGCATATGTTGCATGCAGTGAGGCTTTCATCCATGCATTGATCAATAACTTCATTGTCATAGAAATTTCATCTTTAAGAATCATTTTTGGCATTGTCATTCCATAATATTAGTTATTCTAAGTTGGCTTCTAGTTGGTATGACTGTCATCTTGTTACTGCAGGTTCGATTCTTTTATTCATTCACCAGTAGAGACAACCTTTATTTGGTTATAGAATATCTCAATGGTGGTGATCTATACTCTTTGCTCAGAAAAGTTGGTTGCCTCGAGGAGGATGTAGCTCGTATCTATATAGCAGAACTGGTTTGTTTAAACCCATTTTGCATGCTCTTTCTTTCTTGTCTGACTTTTTTCTTAAGGAAATCTTCATACATTTCAGGTTCTCGCTTTAGAATACCTGCATTCTCTTGGAATCGTCCATCGTGATTTGAAACCAGACAACATATTAATTGCACATGACGGGCATATCAAGGTTCCGTGTACTAACTCTAATTAAATCTGAGCTTTTATTGAGATACTATTAGGTGCTGCAGTATGCCATGATGGTACTTAACTAATGCTCCATATGATTTAGATACAAATTCTCCATAGTTAATCTAACAGTCAAACAATTTCTTCACGTGTATAGTTTCCATGGTTTCGTATTCAGTGCATTGTCTTGAAAGACCATTTCCAGCTAAGAAATGGGAAGTTTTTTTTTAATTATTTTTTGGTTTGCACTTTTAAATTAAATGACTTTTCTGAAGCTAGAAATTATTTTGTAATGCTTCTCTACTGATTTTTAAAAGTTCAGAAGGCAAACTTCTTGTAAATGTTTTACATCTATTGACCTGAGTACTGTGGGTGGTTTGCAGCATCTGAATAGTAGAATGGATAAAGATAGCTATTATGACATTTGTGTTTAATGGAAAGAATACATTTTGTTTTAATCATTGAGTAATAGTCCATACAAAAGAATCATATCAAATGGACAGAATACATTTTGAATTAATCATTGAATACTAGTCCAAAAAAAGAATCATAGCAATGTTTGTACCTATGTAGCTCCAGTCAATTATGTGTCCCGTTTAATTTTGTTGTATAGGCCCATGTATGTCTCAACCTTACATTTTCATCATGTTTTGTTATGGTAGAGATGATGTACTAACTAACCACTGCTTATTCTGCCAGCTTACAGACTTCGGCTTATCAAAAATTGGACTTATGAATAGTACGGGAGATTTACCTGGACCTGACACAGATGGAATTACTCTTTTAGATGCACATGATCAGCATGCTCAAAAAACAGAGGATAGAAATCAGCAGTCAGCTGTTGGCACACCAGACTACTTGGCACCTGAGATTCTTCTTGGAACTGAGCATGGTTTACACTCAACCTGCATTTAGGTATCTTTTTAGTGTAGTGAAGAGTTGAAATGACCTCCTGAGCATTTCTACAGGTTATGCTGCAGACTGGTGGTCAGTGGGGATTATCCTATTTGAATTTATCACAGGAATCCCACCTTTCAATGCCGAACGTCCGGAGGTATCAAACATTTTTTAAATTTTTTGCAAAATTACATACTTTTGAATTCCAGTGCATGATAAACAACTGAAGGCAAGGCACTTACACTTGAACACTCATTCTCTATTGATTATATATTTCTTTATGGTTATGTGGTTGCCGGTTCTGTAGTCCTCTTGGTGGTGAGCAACATATGTAACTAGTCTGATTAAGCAGAAGACTGCTATTTATTATGTGTATGATTAGACAAAAACATTAAGTCAAGTGCACTTTAATATCTCATGAGGCTCGTGTATTAATTATTTGTTTATAAGGTTTTGTAAATTTTCTTGAGGTTCTATTCGTAACTAGTCAATTTAAATACAAAATGTGTAATTTGTCGTTTATAGAAGTGAATGAAAATAGCAATTCTAACTTCGTTAGGGATGTCCAAAATAGCATGAAGTATCATGCTGTTTAAAACTCCTACTTAAATATCGATGTAAAAAATAATCGGGTTAAAAAAGAAAAGCCTGGTTTTCTTTCAGCAGCCTGCTATTTTGCACTTTCTAGCATATCTTTATTCATCTTCGTGATTCTACCACCAGAGTTGGAAAAGCTGCAGACATTCAGGGATTCAGTGTTTTATTTTATGAAATCATGTGGTCCTTGCCTCATTGATTTTTTTTTTAAAACATTAGTTACTATTTATCTATTAGAAGTTAGAATTTTGCCATGTGGAAGCGTTTATTTTTGTAAGAGCAGAACTGTTCGCATATGAAAATTGATTGGTGGACAACCCCCATTTTTGGCTTAATTGGAGGAATTAGAAGCTTTGTTTCACTGACTATGGTTATTAACTAATTGTTCATCCTTATCGGTCAGAAAGTTTGGTCAAGCTAATAATTATACTAGATGCAAAAAAAGTTTTTTTATTGCAGAGGAAAAATCATACTCTTCTAACATTTGCGCCATCTTGTTGGCTACACAGATAATCTTCGACAACATTCTTAGCAGGAAAATTCCCTGGCCTTCTGTTCCTGATGACATGTCGTATGAAGCCCAAGATTTGATTGACAGGTTGGTCACTACATTTAGCAGTCCTTAAAGGTTCTATTTCATGATTTGCAGTTTTAGCTTATCAGGTCGAATATTGCTTGCCCTTTTTCCAAATATCTTTTGTATTCTGCGTCTCATGGTTCCAACATTAAAGTAGTCTACAGAGTTTACCTTCTCTGATTATGATATTTCACAAGCACAAACAGAAAGTATGAGCGTAAAACAGTGAAAGTCACTGTCTTGGAGAAGAATTGGGAAGGAACTGAATATTTAGATGTAAATAATTCCGTTAACTTTGGGGAACAAATGCTACAATTTCTGTTAAATCTTGGGAATTGTTTTTCGATCAAGTAATATCATATCAACCAGTCTTGCTCTGTTAGCAACAGTGGTTGTCTTCATGCTGCAGTGTTGTGGGGCCCCATTTTTAAGTTCTCAAAGTTGAGTTATTGTGTCTTAACACACAACAGGACCAATTCTATATTTTCTTGCAAATGTATTTGAGATGGGACGAGAAGAAAAATGGAAACTCTTGCACCTTTTGGAGCAGTTTGATTATCAATATCATAAGTTCTCCCTTACAGTTGTGCATAATATGAGAGTATTGTTTCTCACATTATTCTTTTTTATTTAAAACATATTGATTAAAACAAATTTGTCCCGAATCATGTACCAAAGATTTGCCCCAAATACTTGGGAGGGGTTATACAAATCCTTTCTTGCAATTGGTGTCTGCTTCTGTAATTTTGTGTGCCTAAATGTCAACTTTTTTTGTTGAAAAATTTCACTTACACATCAATCTCCCTTTATGTAGGTTCCTTGTTCTTGATCAAGATCAGCGTCTTGGTGCAAAAGGATCTTCAGAGGTTGTATTCTGCTTGTGTAGAAATGGTTATTGATAAATTAATGATTTCTCTAGCTTTAGGATGATCATAAGATGGACATACTGGTTGTGCCACATGATTACTTGAAAGATAAATGCTAGGGTGACTCTCATTGCCTTCAACTTCCCTACAGGTAAAAGCACACCCATTTTTTAATGGAGTCAACTGGGACACCCTCACCTTACAAAAGGTTAGGTCACACATTTCCATTAACTACTTTTCTTCTTGTTATGGTTGTGATGTCTACAATGTTGACTTTTCATTACTTGATGCATTCACAGGCTGCTTTTGTTCCACATCCTGATAGTGTAGACGACACAAGCTATTTTGTGTCACGGTATACGCAATTTTCAGATGGAATGCCACATGATCGGGTCTCTAGCGATTCTGCTTCTGACATTAGTGAATCCTCGAGTTCTGGAGTCGAGGTAAATTTACTTATTCATCTAGATATAGCTTTCTTGTATGGTAGTTGATAGTTGGAGTTTGGTTGGATGGCAACCTTGAAAGGCTACTTTGTGGTTCATTTAACAAAAACAAAAAAGAAAAAAAAAAACAAGATTAATAAGAGAATGGCTGGATGCTTATTATAAGAGATGGGGGTAGTAGTTGGTGAAGATGATTTGCTCTTAGGCAGAGAGATTCAAACCCATCTATGGTACAACATTCAGGAGACCTATACACTATGGGGTTGGCATTTTTGGCGCTCATTTTATTATAAAAAAAATAATTATAATTATAATATGATACTAGTAATCCGCAACACCTAACTAGAATCAATGACACACGAATACAAAGAAGCACGAATACACAAGAACGATAAATCACACGCACATACAAAGAACACAAGAGTGACATAGTTTACTACAAAACTAGGGCTACGTCCATGGTTGTTGCGGTTTTTACTATAATCACCCCCTCAACTATAAATACATAGAAGTTAGTGTAATAAGTCACAAGTACAGAAATACCAAAAAAATCCGTACTCTGTTGTTAGGTGGTTAGTCTCTAGTGCTCATCAAGATCCACACTACCCTAATAACTTTTCAATGATTTGTATGATATCCTTATTGGGATTCATTTAAGGTTCTCCTTATTGAACTTGAATTTTTGGGATGGAAATCATTGTTCTATTTGGAGTAGTGGGGTAGAAAGATATGATGCACACCAACCACCAACCAAACAAACATAAGTCAGGGCTTACCACCAACCAAACAAACATAAGTCAGGGCTTACCACCAACCAAACAAACATAAGTCAGGACTTCTATATAGAAAGGTATTTAGCAGTGACAATAGTGTTTTGGTGATTAATGATCACTTGGGAATTAAGTGAATCATATGATTTCTAAGCAGCCTCAAATGACGTTGGCAAAGCAAGACCATTGATATTAAATAATCAACTACTCTCACTCTCTCTCTCTGGTATATGTAGATTTGAGCAGTTGTTGGAGAGATCTCATTCGGAATTCATATTTTTCTTTCTTTGTTCAGAAGATGGATGAATGTACTGACCTTGAACGATTTGGCTCGGCTCTCGATCTCTCCTTGATAAACTTTTCTTTTAAGGTAAACCCACTTGCTCCCCCCCAAACGTTCAGTCTTGACTGTGGATGCATTGAATAAATCCCAGTGCAACCTAAAGTGATATATCTGCCTAGGTTTTTGCTCAAACAATAGCATTCACTCTTTGAAACTACTGAATTTGAAGAGAAAAAAATTAAAAAGAAAAGAAAAGAAAAAGTCTTTTCAATTGCTGAGAATTTGAGCTTGCTTGGTTGTGTTTTTGTTTTCATTTTTCAGAAACTTGTTGGTGAACTGTTTTTTGGATTTTTTCCTGAAAAAAGCTCTCTTCATAAAACACCCAAAAAAAATTTTGAATTTATTTTTGCACAAAAAGATGAAGATGGTAGCCATTTATGAAATTT